ACCCACTGTCCCTTAGAGCAAAACAACTACACTGAAAAACAGGTTGAGGGCTAAGCTAGGCATAAAAAAATCATCATCCCAACAGCTCGAGACAGAAGTGACTGAGCTGTGTACAAGTAGGACTGTGGCTCTGTTCAGTTACTGACTTCTGGAGTACTAACAAATACTGCTGGAGTGACGTGGCTCAGAGAGACATGCTGCCATTGCAGCACCTATGCAGCAATTGGGACTTGTTTTCTTTTCTTCTGAGGCCTATCCTTGCTACCTTCCAGGAAAGTGAAGCTTTGCATATTCCACACTTTTCTCCCCTGGCGTTCTGTCGGACCTCCTGCAATTTTGCCCAGAACAAATGTTTCCAGTTCCAAAGAGAACTTAAAGCATTCCAAAGCCATAAAGACTAATTCAGTTTTACTTTAATACGCCTTTCCACAAAAACATTTTAAAAGAAAAGAGAAATGGAGACATGCTAGACAGCTTCCAGGCTCCACCTAGGAGGGAAAGGCAGCTCATGAGCTCCCTCACTCTGGAGAGGAAGGAATAATGGTCTTCTCTTCCCATGCTGTCTTCTCCGCTGGTGAAGGGCCTCCAGGCCATCCCTTCACAGTGAAGCTGGAAAAAGGGAGGCCAAAGCCCTAAGAAACCTTGACAGAGATCAGTTTGGGTGACCATGTCTCTGCCATGGGAATGTGTGTGGGGAAGAAGGGCTTTGGCTTTATCAAACCTCTTCCCACACTTTCTGTTGCTGTCAAGGAGCATTTTCATCTCTTCAGCCTGTGGGCATTACCCAAGGCAAAATTAAGGTAGAACAGAGGGGACAGGGTGTACTTCAGCTTTACATTCCTTTCTATTTCCACAAAACCATTCCTATATGCATTCCACATTTCAGAAGGCAAGAGGGAGAAATGATAACCTTCACACTAGGTTTTCAAGCGCTTTTAAAAAGACTTGAAGCTCTTCAACAGTGTAAACACAGAGCAAGCTCAGAGGGGCACGAGAGCGCTAGACAGAGCAAGATGACTGCAATTACTTGTCATTTCATAGAATATGGAAGAAATACAAAAAACCCCATGGATATATACAACAAATAGGAAGCCAGTTTACAATTAAGGAGTTCTGTCTTTATCAAAAGACAAGTCACCATGATTAAAGACAGTAAAATAGAAATTTTAAAAAGTCACAGCCATCAGAAAAACAACACAACACCAAAAAAAATCCTTTTCTGTATTTTCTGGGATGCAGGTTCCCTTGTCTAATGTCCCCACAGGTGATATTCCAGTGATAGCTCTCCTGGCTAAATCAGTCAGACCTAGCAAACTCTTGTTACATATTCAGAGCCCTCAGATTTCACGACTGCTTGGAATACCACATGACAAACTCCTACATTCAGGTTTTGCACAAGCATACGTGAATCACTTTCTCAAATCTCTTTCTGTGAAACATGCACTGAATGGTGAATGTGAGAGTTATCGATTGCAGCGTGTATTTAACTTAATGAAGCGTAACACTTTGTTTCTAAACTACGTATCGTAAGTGATCTGGAGAACAAAAAAGCCTTAGCGTTAAGACTTCATAACAGTGCCATATATGGAGAAAAAGGATCTATTAAATGAAAAAATATTTGATAAAGGTAAATTTGGCATCTTCTTTATGATGCAACTACATTCAGAAATGTGCTTACCTTTCATCCCATTCATTTCTTTTCAGCACTTCAAAGGATTTCCTCAAAATCATACGCATTAGCTGCAAAGTACAAAATCTGTTATACATGTTGTTCATGAAAACAGATAAAGGAATTACTGTGACTGTAAGATGAATAGAAATCTTAGTAAACCTCTTTGTAGCACAAAAAGGTGGAAAGCTTCCTCATGTGAACATTTGGATAGACTGGTCTATCATGTCAAGCAGCAAAAGGATGCTGTGAAGCTCAAAAGACAATAAACATATTTTCATATCCTAAGCCCAGAAAAATCCACGACCATTTCTACTATACAGCTTTCTCTTGCTCCATCACCCCGATTTCTTCATTAAGTGCTGCCAAACCTAAAAAACCCCACAGCTTAAACTGGAGACAACAATATGGGACAAATGGTAATAATAATTTAATTTACTTGAAACGTGCACTAAAACACAGCCATATGTAAACCAGCTACATTAAACTGGCTTAAAACTCTTCACTTACTGAAATACCTGGTTTCTGCTAACATTGATAAACAAAAAAGAGCAGTGAATGTGCCTGCAATTAACTTTTTTCATAGATGACGACTAATGTGATTTTGTTCTTTACAAATGTAGATTCTTCTCTCACTGATTTAATTATTTGTTTTAAAATACGTTCCCTATAGAAAGAATTCTGATAGCTGAAGGTACCACAGTGGATACTTTAGTGGTGGGAAGTTGGGGTTCTAGTGACAACTACTTTATACAGTCATAAAGAAGTCTTTAAACAGTCTAATCTAAATAACTGATGTTGACGCAGTGTCCTCTGAGACAGTATTTATACTCTGTATAGAAGCCAATGAGAAAAATCGCTATGTTATAAAGGAAGGCAAACAAGAAAGCACTTGCAGCATGACATAAACCATAATGGCTTTTAGATTTGCAGTGGTGAGTGAAAGCCTTTAAAATAACTATCTCTTGCAATGCATCAAGATAGTCACTTGTCTTCTCGTACAATACACATAAATGCACGTGCAGACAAAGCTGCCTTACAGCACACCATCACCACCACACCTTTTCTCACAGAAAAGATCTACAAGAGAGTTAGTATTACCATATAGTACTTATCAAGACGCAGATTGTCTATCCCATTCCATTCACGGTTCATAGTTTGCCAAAACGTCTGAATGAACAGGTGTCCTGTAAGAGAGTGAGAAAAAAAAAAAAATCTGTGTGTCTGGCACAACAGTTTATTTTGCCGACCTAAAAGAGTCTCGAGAATCACTTCAACATGAAAAAGGGATGCATTTCCCTAGGGATTTGCCTAGTGACAGGGATAGAGCTATGGGAAGACATGCTTGAGATGGGTACAGGGACAAGTCAATTACACTTCAGAACAACACAAGAAAAGGCACACAGCTACTTTTGAAGATAAGTGTAATTGCAGGGACAGCTTTGTATCTATTTTTTTGTTATATAGACACAAGTTAGAGCAAAATAATCATTCTGTGCTCACTTCTACCTGTGAAAGTTCCAGCGTTGACTGAGCACTTGTTTCAACTGCATTTTGAGTCCTAGCTGCTTAACAGCTCATGAAACAGGGTTGGTTTTGAGTAGGAAACACATGGAACAAGTCAGTCTATGCAGAATGGCAAAGTAAGGGGACAAGTTTGCTTTGCTAACCACCCTGCAAAGTCTCACCTTTATCACACTGGAGATATAAGTCTTCCCCTGCAACAACCAGAAACAAAGCACATCTCATGCTTCCCTTAATGCAATCACACACACCAGCTGGACAAAAAGCAAAGAAAAAACCCAAAGAGGGACCCCTAGCTGGCTGTCTCTGTTCTGGCACTGTGATAGCGGCCTCAAAATCACCAAAGGTGAAAGTACCTTACAAAGCGTTAGATAATGAAGTAGTACTTACGAGCCTCCGTGTTCTGAATCACATGGATAAGCTGCGAGATATTGTCTGCAAGTTCTTCCTAGAAGTAAATAAATATAGTTAATATAGCATGTTTCAGAGCTTGGTCTCCTCACTAAACACGCAACCAGAAAACAGCAATGAATATCGTGAAACATCCCTCAAAATTAAAAATATTCCCTTAACAGCTGCTTTAGTACTACAGTTATCCTTCCACTGGGATTAGGTCAGTTGTAAGAGAAGATTCAAGGGTATCAAGCCCTGTTCATTTCACCAGATCTCTGCACAAATCATCCTTTGACAGCAGACGAAATTAAATTAGGAGAAAAATCCCATGTATTTGAATTAAGAAATGATGTAAAACTTTAGGGGTACTGTTTTCATAGAGCTTAATTGTAGGTGGAGTGCTCTGTCATATGTGTGAGATAAACCTTCTTCATGCAAACAGACAACTGATTTGAAAACCGATTAAGTGAATTTTACTAAGATCAGATACTCCAAAACTGGTATCTTTTAGAAGTAGGGAGACAAACTGGTAGTAGTTGACAAAAGTCAGTAGTAGAGACAAAGTTGGTAGTAGAGGAGGTGCCACTGAACTAACAAAAGAAAAGGCAGTGTGAAACTTTCAAACTAGGCTAGTTAAAGGTTGCACATATGTTGCAGTTGCAGCTAAGGACAACCTGCTGTTACTGCTTTAGTTCTACCAAATCAACACACTGCATCACGGTACATATTTCAGTTCTGGTTTTGTAAGGTAAACAGCTACACTTGCCATTCAGAGGGTGACTCCAAACATGATACTGTTTAGGCTTCTGTTCACGCGGCGAGGATCACCGAGTTACAGTCACTTCCCCTGCACACGGCACATATGAGCAGCAGGGGAATTAAAAAAATGGTGAGCAAAACTCACTAAGGGCATTTTCACTATTCTAAATCAGCATGTCGCTGTAGTCTATTTTAGAAGAGACTCACTCAAGCAAATCTAAAACCAGTTACTATACCTGCAGCAGAGGCTTATCCTGCATCCACATACAATAGAATAGGCCTTTCCATATTTTTAGCAGTTCTTCCTGGCTGAAGCCACCTACGGCACAGGAGAAGTCTGAATGAAAACCATAAATCCCACATTTCCATCAAAATATTTTCATGCAGTTCCCTCTGGTCAGTGCTTTTGTCCTGGTTTCAGCTGGGACAGAGTTGACTTTTCTCCTAGTAACGGGCATAGTGCTGTGTATTGGATTTAGGATGAGAAGAATGTCAGTAACACCCTGATGGTTTAGTTGTTGCTGAGCAGTGCTTACACCAGTCAAGGACTTCTCAGCTTCCCCTGCTCTGCCAGGGGCACAAGAAGCTGGGAGGGAGCACAGCCAGGACAGCTGACCCCAACTGGCCAAAGGGCTGATCCAGACCATATGGCGTCATGGTCAGCATATATGCTGGGGGGAGCTGGACAGGGGAGTCTGCAATTGCTGCTCAGGAACAGGCTAGGCATCGGTCAGGGGTAAGCACGCTAACTGGAAGGCAGCTTGGAGTAGTTCAGTGACTCCATGACAGTAAGCTTCTACCTTGTACCAAAGATTTCAAAGAAATCACAGATGAGATGAGACGAATACTAAGATCATTCTGATAAATCTCTCTGGCATATTTTTAGCACCAAGTCTGCGAGATGTTTTCCATGAGTGCATTGTATCTAATTTTGCAACAGAGGTGATGTGCAAATCCTCAAACATAACTGACAAGGCTTTTGGTTCTTTTGTTTTGTTTTAAATAAAGTCTCACTTTACCAATAGTTTTGTTCCTTACCAATGGCTTGTTTTGACAGAATAAGCTTCTAGCAGTCAAAAAATTTACTTCTATATTGAAATGCATAATCACAGAGCCTGAGCAACCATAATGAAAATATTTTCATTGCAGTTAGTCTTGAGGTACAGAGTCATCTGAATTTTAACAGCAAAGAATATTTTCACTATTAACAGTATAAAAATTCACATTCTAGTTAAAATCACACATCCTGTAGGAGGGAAGTACTACGCAGAAAATAAAATTTTTCTACCTGTAATAGTTGTTCAAGAATGTTTTAAAAACTGGATTATTCATGACATCAAAAACATTTCTGGGAAGTAAAATTATAATGTCATACTGTTACAAGGTAGCTACAATAACCTCCTACAGCTATTTTCAAATTATGGCCTCCTAAGTACTCTGAAGTAATTTTAAGTAAAAACATGTTAAAAAGGTAATCATCATCAATAACCTCAAATTTGCTCCAAAAAGATCACTGTCACTTTTGAAAAATTTTCAAGGGTCTGCCAATCAAAAAGCCTGAGACCCAGTGCTAGGTCTAAACTGAGTACCTCCTCCTGGGACCAAATGATTTGAAAGCAGTTATCACTACTGCATCGTTCTCTACTCAGACAAAAATAAAAGGTGTAAACATCTTAGTTAAATCGTCTACAGTCGTGCTTGGTGAAAAAGAAAGGAAGTAGAGCTAAGCGAAGGAAATACGCAAAACGGAAACAATAACTCTAGTAATATTAATTATGAACTCAGATTTGTCAGTAATACTAAGATTAAATGCGAAACAATTTGATTTGCTTATTTAATACTCATTGAAATACTAAAATTAGACACATTTCTTAACAGAATTATATGCTATGTAGGTAGCAGGAAGAAGCAGGCTTAACCTGATGTGCAGCATGAACTCTACAGAGGCACCAGGCTCATGTCCAGGGGCTGTCAGCTGCTACCTTATAGAGATGGCTGAGGAGTTCTTCCCTGTCCAGGGAACACAGACTTCCATGGGGTTGCTTTTCATAGTGAGGGCTTTTTCAAGTGTCCTAGGAAGTCTTTTGTCCATTTGACAAAGGACCCCGATCAAAAGGTTTTAGAGCAAGTCTCTTATTCTAGTCACTCAAAAAGTAGTTTGGTTTTTCCATTTCTCAGCTTTACGTGCTCTGCCATCTACAGCTGGCAAATAATAATCATTTGCGCAAAGTTATTTTAAAACCTGAATCTACAGGTTTTGGCCACCAAAGTGCACAAAACTTAAGGCTTTCTTTACCTTAAAGCTACCTTGTGAAAGACTCTGGTTTTAGTGCTTGGATTGTAACTCTGTGCCCATGCACAGTGCAGGAGTGTGGATTAGCAATGTTACAACCACTCACTGAAGACTTGCTACTTTAATGCAAGCCTTGTTAGCATTTCTGTTTGGGAGTTATGCTGTTTTGACATTGCCATCATTAAAATTCTCGCAATTTTTCCTATTCTAGATAATCTCCAAGGACTAGATCCACATGGGCTCATTTCAGTGGAAATGACATAAATCCTATACAGATCTGGGCCCAAGTAAGCGCAGTGCTGTCAGACAGGAAACCACCCAGCAATCTTTCCTCATTTACTAGAAGTTACTTTTATTTACTATTCTTTCACCAAATCATTTACCAATTGTCTCCATAAAGATACCCTCCTATTATCAGCCCAGTACAGCATGCTCTCCTTCTCTTTCAAGGTAAGGATTTTAAGAAGAATGAGTTAATACAAAAAAAAGAGGGCCACTTCCAAGGAGTAATGTACTCATCCAAGTTCAGATCTGCACATACGATGACTTCAGAGCTTCAGTAGTTCTGTGCCTTCTTGCAGAGTTTAACCTCTTGTTGAAAATTAAAAGCTCTAGCTCTTTCAAGATGTTTCCCCAGCATAACCCATAATTCAGCCTTAGCACAGACCATACTGAGCAGTGCTGCCTACCTATGAAACATTTGGCTGAGGTGGACGTCAGGGGAACTCCACCGCCTCTTTCAAAAGTTAGTGTGTTCTCAACTGTTCAAGTCAGGGTATCTAGCTGGGTTATCTGACACGTGGGCCTCATCTCTCTTAGAATGCCAGATGGATGTAAGACTGCTAATCAATAAATAACTCAAAAAAAAAAAAAAATCTCTCCTGAACATAACGCTTTCTCTCCAAGTCCGAAGAAGTTAACCTTTGTTTTAATATTAGTAGCTTGAATAGTATGCAACAGTAAGTAAATCTAAGAGCTCTGGAAATTAGTCACCCTTGTTTCCTACGCATTTGCATTTCATGGTGGGCTGACCTTAACATGCAAAAGGTTCACATCTCAACTGACAATCTACCTGAGGTCGTTTCCTAATACCTTAAGGCATTAGCTTAACCTGCTGCCTTTTCCCTCCATTAGGGCACTCTTGTCCATCTGGCAGGCTACTTCCACAATTTTAAAGGAATCTGCACTTTGCAATGAGATGCACAAAGCACTACTGAACACAGAGAAGCCATGGCCAAGCTTAGGAAGTGTACAGAGCTAAAAACAGCAGGAGGCTAGGAAAGAACTTGGGAGGAACACAGCATACACTTGCATGCTCTTACAAGTCCCTAGGCATCCCCTAGATCTACAGTAACTGTCAGAACTGGGATAACTGGCTATTTGACCCTCTGGCCTGACCCTGTAAGGCTGTTCTTATGTGCTCTTCCCTCTGTCGAACGTGGCTAGTGGGTCAAATACTATTGGGAAAGGGAAGAAGGTAAAGGGAAGAGACATCCATTCCCCAGTGTCTTTTCAAGGAACTAACTCAGGTTCAACCAGCATTCCAGTTTCAGTTTAGCTCTTGGGGCACCAGGTCTTGGCTGGCTTCCTCAAAGCCAAACGAGCGTGTACACCTAAAGCTCAGTACCAGTTTCCCAAATGCTGCAGAGAGGTTTGCTAGGTCAGACACAGCGCTCTGCAAAAGCTCGTGGCCAGTTTCCCTCCCATGCCACGTCCAGCTTGCAACACAGCATGCTGGAAAACGCAGTCCAGAAACAACACAGAAACCCTTGGTCATCTCCTTACTGTGCTCCTTATCGCTCCAGCAGGAAGGTTTACTGAACTGGATCTGTGCGTTCACACAATGCTATGACTGACCTCGTGAGCCTCCTATAACCTGCGTCCATGAGGAAGAGGGTGCACAGGAGGCACCTTCAGGTGCAGGCAGCTTCAGACTGGCATGGCTAGACACAAGCTGAATATGAGCCAGCAGTGTGCCCAGGTGGCCAAGAAGGCCAACAGCATCCTGGCTTGTATCAGGAATAGTGTGACCAGCAGGAGCAGGGAAGTCATCCTTCCCCTGTGCTCGGCACTGGTGAGGCCACAACTCGAATACTGTGTTCAGTTTTGGGCCCCTCACTACAAGAAGGACATTGAGGGGCTGGAGCATGTCCAGAGAAGGGCAACAAAGCTGGTGAGGGTTCTGGAGCACAAGTCTGATGAGGAGCAGCTGAGGGAACTGGGGTTGTTTAGGGTGGAGGAGGCTGAGGGGAGACCTTATCGCCCTCTACAGCTGCCTGACAGGAGGCTGTAGCCAGGTGGGGGTCGGCCTCTTCTCCCAAGTAACAGGCGATAGGATGAAAGGAGATGGCCTCAAGTTGTGCCAGGGGAGGTTTAGATTGGATATTGGGAAAAATTTTTTCACCAAAAGGGTTATCGGGCACTGGAATGGGCTGCCCACGGAAGTGGTCAAGTCTCCACCCCTGGAGGTATTTAAAAGACGGGCAGATGAGGTGCTTAGGGACATGGTTTAGTGGTGGGATGGCAGGGTTAGGTTAACAGTTGGACTTGGTGATCTGAAAGGTCTTTTCCAACCTAAGTGATTCTATAAACTGTTTCCAGGGACGCCACTGAAGTGCGCACGCACTGGACTCTTGGTTCTAAGGCGGCAGGACACAGCTCCAAGTAGGATAATAAACCTTGTCAGAAAAAAGCTTTTGATACCATGAGGTATCAGCTAACCCAGATAATCTGAACGGGTAGCAGAGAACTGACTGCAATTACACAAGTGCTGAAACGCTCCTGAGCTTTCCTCAGTTCCCCCCAATGCTCCTGAACATCACTCACGGGAACAGGCACCCACCACCTCAGCGGGTGGCAACACGGCAGAAGACAAAACTATACGCTCCGTGTACCGGGGTGGCTTCAGTCCGGGTCAGCTCAGTGCCCTCACGTCCTGTTCCCGGGAACGAGCGTGTGAGCTTCACTGCC